TTAAAAAATTAAATAATTTATTTAAAAACTTAATAAATCGCTTCTTTATTTTAAAACGTAACTTCCATTAAAATAATTACAGTCTTAGCGATAAGTATAAGCACTTTCACAATCTGACATACGTCTACCTAACAAAAAATAAATTAAAAAACATGATTAAAAAATAATAAAAATAATATTTATTTTTACAACAATTTTATTAGTTTCTCTATTGCATTGTCGCCTTTTCCAAAAAAATGCAATAAATTGATTTATGGCTAAGGTTGTATAATATACTCGCATATCTACATTACATTGTTATTCTGCACACGAAATTTTTAAGAAAGTTATCCTATATTTAAACAATCAATCTATTTGTCTATTTATCATCATTACGAAAAACATCGTGTTTTCAAAAAATCATGGATTCGCTTGAAAAAATACGAGCGGATACGCGAACTTTCACGGCGCAGCCTCGTTCGACCAGAACGTTCCGCACGGAAAAAGAAACAGAAGAAAAGAAAAAGCGCGCGTGGAAAAGAGAGAGAGAGAGAGAGAGAGAGAGAAACGAAAAAAAAATTCATTTTAAAATGAGCACTGCCTAACGGGGCCTCGCGTCGAACTTTAGAGTCCGCGCGTCCTAGTTCGGACGATCCTGGCAGTTTGCCAGGGAATCGTGAAGGGATCGGAAGTAACGAGGATGAATAAAAAAGCCGTACGCGGGGCTTATCTATCATCGCGATACCTGTCGAGGTACGACGCGCGCGCGCACACGCGTGAGTGGAAGCGACTATAGTTGAGCGCGACAAAGCTACGCGGAGCTCTTCGAAAATCATTTCAGAGCGGACAGGGGAGAATTCATTCTCAACGCGAGAAGGCACGCAGCAGCAATGCCGACGAGTCGTTACCACTGCAGTGCGGCGAGTAAACTTCGTCGAGTGCATAGACTGCACACACTACGCCCCGTAGCTTCTGTATAGAAGCGACGTGCGCGACAGAAACATAGTTACTGTATAGCAAGGATAGCGAAATATAACAGTTTCATAAACCCATGTTCTCCCTCTCCCCCTTCTCCGCTTCTCTTGCCCCTATTCTTCTGCATAGAAGAGCCGGAAAATACTGCATAAAAATAGCAACTGTGTATTCTCACGAACTGGTAGTTCCACTTTTAACTTGTTATTAAGTTACAATATTAATAATTTAATTGTTCCTCTCGAAATCAGATTTGCATTAACTTGACGATTTATATTTATAAGTTCTTTATAGAATTTTAAGATGCTCACAGCATTCCTATCAAATAAACTATCAATTTAATTTATAAGATTATTATTTCAGTTCGTTTGTATTGCAAATAATCGAGTTTATATAATTGGAAGATATATTTGAAATTTACATAGAAATATTATTAAGCAATACTTACTTACTTATTTAATTCGCTTATATTTGTTGACGTAATCAAATGTTGTAATAATATAAAATAAATATTTACAAATAAAAAATATAATAATGAAAAATTAAACCGAAAAGTCGGCTTCATAAAAAAGATAATTATAATTATAATTATGTTACGCGAAAAGAACTAAATTTCCAATTAAAAGAATAAAGTTTGATATTAAAACTTCGCGGGTACATTAATTGTTCGATTAAAACTGGTTCAAATGCAGGTAGAGTTACTGGAAAAGTTTCATAATATATCGATAACCACTGCTTAACAGAATTTCTCGTTCTGTTTCATCGCGAAATGTGGTAACACGTTAGATATATGGCCGAGTAGTGGATCTCGACGTTCCGAGTGTGTTTGGGAATTAGGTAAAGGGATTCCGTGGATTATATTCAGGAACTTCGAACTCCTAGAGGATTTCGGATGGACCAAGGATCCTCGAGTTTCTCGAGACCACAAGTCAGGATAATAACGTCAAGGAAGAGCTAGTCTCCGTCGAGACAGATTCA